GAGGATGATCAAGGTTGCTACATAATACTGTTTCTGTATTTACAACACATTTTATAAAATACCAGAAGTTACTCTGGTAAAACTGTTTAAAAGATGCAAAGGCTGCTAAACACAGATGTTAATAGTGGTCCTTCTTCTCTTTTGAGTCTCTGGTTCAGTAACAGCAGTGTCATTTCAAAATCATTTGTATTCAAATTCTGTGTACTTTTATGTATACTGTGTTTACTTATAAATTTATTAATACTAGTTTTTATCTGACTGTAGATACAAGTGTTAAACCAAAGGTGGAATGCAGTGTAGTAACTGAATTTACAGACCACATTTGTGTAACTATGGATGCTGAATTGATTATGTTTCTGCATGACTTGGTATCTGCTTATCTAAAAGAAAAAGAAAAAGGTAAGTTGTTGTTTATCAGGTAATGCTCATCTGACAATTTGCAGTTGTCAGACTATTTGATAGTAAATGTCTTCATACTTTTTAATAGAGTTGACTTGTTAAAAATGGATTTAATTTAGAAAAAAAAAAGCTTAACTTTGCTTTCTCTTAAATCAACAAAAGGAGTATTAATTGTTCTTGAAATCTAGACTTAATGCTATGAAATGAATGTTATCTCATTCAGTCACTGATAAGTGAAATTTAACTGTACAGTAACAAAATGTATTCTGGGTTACTTTAGACTGAAAACCAAGATGTATTTTGGCACTTCTCAGAAAGTGCAACATTGTTCAGGAAATACTAGAGCTAATTATAAGTCAGCTCCTGTAGGGCTGGAAGCAAAGCAGTTGCATACATACTTACAAACCTTGTAGTGTCACCACACTGACATGTCACTGCTGTGCAGGGCCACACATCTCTGTGTGTCCTTTCATCCATGGAGTTTCTTTCAAGATGTGCATTTTTCTGACTTAAGAATGCTCTACTTTTCCACATGAATATGTCCAGTTGCAGCATTCAAATGTGGCACATATATCCTTAAGCAATATGTGGTCTTTGCCAAGAGCAGGAAATTGAAGATGAGTGAGTTGGATGTAAAGTGCACCAAACACAGAGTGATTTTCATTGTTGCAGACTTAAGGTGAACAAACAGTGCCTGTTCAGGTCCTGAATGACTGACTGTGCTCTGTGATTACCTGCGTGCTGAAGGGAAGGTCACTGTCTAGTGGCTTTAATGCTTTACAAGTACTTATTGCCACGAGTAGCTAAAACCTACTAAATTAATTAAGACTTGAAAATGATTTTAACAGCACTGCAGGTGTTGATCACAGATAAAATTACTTCAGATGTTACGTTTACTATAAGTAGAATAGAAGACTGTTTCAGTTGAAAGGGACCTACAACTATCATCTAGTCCAACCGCCTGACCACTTCAGGGCTAACCAGAAGTTAAAGCCTGTTGTTAAGGGCATTGTCCAAATGCCTTTTAAACACTGACAGGCGTGGGGCATCAACCACCAATCTGAGAAGCCTGTTTCAGGGTTTGACCACCCTCTCGGTTAAGAAATGCTTCCTAATGTCCAGTCTAAACTTCTCCTGGTGCAGCTTTGAACCATTCCCATGTGCCCTATCCCTGGATTCCAGGGAGATCAACACGTCCCTCTCCACTTCTCCTCCTCAGGAAGCTCCGGAGAGCAAGTATTATATAATTACATATTAGGTCAGATGAGATGTCATCACTGAAATTAAAAGCTGCTTATTTCAAGTTCTACAACTTCTGATATTAAGATTTTTCCAAATTTTACCACAGCAATCCTACTCCAGACCCTCATTTCTATACTTTACGCTTGTGGCAGCCTTTAGAGAAATATGTAACACGGTAATGTAAGTGTAAAAGATGAGTTACCACCACAGTGAAAGTCACATATTTTGTTTTTCTGGGGTGTGTGAAATTTCATGTTGTGCATAGTAGCTTGCATTTACTACTGAACTGTATAGAAAATGTAACATTTATTCATTTGATGTAACGTGATGTATAACTGTAACACTTATATGATGTAGAACATACTAAATTCAGTATTTTGACATTTTTATAACTAACCATATCAAAATCCCTTTATGTGTAAATGTGTACAGCAGAGCTAGCAGCACTTCCTAAAAGCACTTTATAGTAAAATTTCCAGCAAGTGCAGAAACTAACAAAAGGGGAAGATAACTATTTCTGGTGGAACTTTGTCAAAAAAATTGTTTTCAATATATCTTAAAGCAAAATGCAATCCAGATTCACAGATGTGTTCTTATTTTATGAAATATGTTGTTTGGAGCAGGAGCTCCTCTTCCTTTTCTGTATCCCAGGACTTAAGAGCTGCGTTCAGGTCCCTTTGATGCCTTTGGAAGAAGATTTAACTTCACTATTCTCCTCAGAGACTACTTTGTCAATCTAAAAAAATATTCTGAACTAGGAGCATGTCTGAATTTTGCTTAGGGAATATAACACACTTTGCTGAATGCTCTGATAAATTTGAAAGCAAGCCCCTGTATATGCTTTGGTCTGGCAGAGGAGGGGAAGAATCCCCAATTACAGTGGTATCCAGTGGCTATTACAGTTTTCACAGCGTATTTTTTACTAGCACTTTGTTCAAACTAAAACTGTTTGCCAGAAATTCTGTAAAACTGAAAGACAAGGTAGTTCTCTCTTTCTTTGAGAGTTGTGCTTTTGTCTTATCTAAATGTTCTACAAAGAGAGTTCAAGTGAGATGCTCGTGACTGACTGGTGTGCGGCTTTCCTCTCTCCATTTTGTAGCAATTTTTCCTCCTCGCATTTTGGCTGCTCGTCCAGGGCAGAAAAACTCCGTTGGTGTTCTTGAGGACAGCTCCACTGACAAAGAGGCAGAGGAAAGCATTACTTACACTACAGTTGACTGGAGAGAATTTATGTGCAATACTTGGCATTTGGAACCCACGCTCAGGTAACAAGCAGGCTTATTTGCAGTCTCTTTGTCTGTGCATTTTATCTGTGGGTACTGTCCTGCAAATGACACGTGTTTCCAGGTTGATGCTGTTAATCTCCTAAGAGGATCAATCATGTGGATGCTGTTACACATCAGTCTTCAGCTGCTAGTGCTGCTAGGAAAACTACCTGCTACGGGACATGACAAAAACTGAATAAGGCAATTAGCTATTACATCAGTTAACTTCTAGATTAGAATTTATGCAGATTAAAGATATTGTTGGAGGCTCTTGAAAATTAGGGTACAGTAAAACTAAGCTCATTGGGGACCACAGATTACTGTGTTTGACTCTGTCCTGCAACAGTCCATTCACCTTCTGCCATATAGTTGTTCATCTTGCACTTTTCCATTTTTAGCTATTCCACTTTTAGTTTTTCTTTAAGCAGTCACCTAAAAATAAAAAAAGCACTATATACTAGTTGCTAGATGGCAGTTTAAATTTAGCACAAAATAACAGTGTGTATAGCAGCAGCTGGCTGCTCTCAATATGCACTTCTAATCATTGAAAATTACTTTTCTCTGTGTCAGGTTTGGTTTGTTTTTTAACCTCTGCTGACACTGCTGGAGCAATTTGTTCAAATATCAAAATGTTCGTTCGCATACCAAAACAAAACATCAATCCAGGCCAAACAAATCCTGATAGTTGTTATTTTGTGTTAGCAGTAATAATAAATCAATTTAAACATGATCTGGAGTCAGCCCAGTCTGTTTTTTTGCCTTGTTTGAGCATCCTCTTCCTTTCAGAGGATGTTCCATTGGTCATCTTGAGCTTATCTGTATAGATTTAGTTTGAAACAATGCCTGTTGGACTTAAGTTGGTCAGAAGTACCAATGGTAAAAATGGATGTTTGGTTTATACAAATGCCAGGTGCTATATTTATATATTTCAGATTGAGTCCACTATTTATTGTTTTTTTAGATTAATATCCTGGACAGGGAGAAAAATTGATCCTGTTGGAGTTGACTACATCCTCCAAAAGCTGGGTTTTCACCATGCAAGGACTACTATTCCAAAGTGGCTGCAGCGCGGTGTCATGGATCCTTTGGACAAGGTTTTGTCAGTCCTTATAAAGAAACTTGGTACTGCACTACAGGATGAAAAAGAAAAGAAAGGAAAAGATAAAGAAGAATACTAGAAGTATAATGTGACAACCGTAATTCCGTTTGATTTTATCAAAGTGTTTTATTGTATTTTAAGAATTTAAATATGGTTTAAAGAGAAACCTAACAGCTTTTTGCTACTCTATTTAAAACTTACATTGTGAGTAACTGTTTACTGTGGTACATGATACCATTCTGTATTTGAAGTTCTTGCATGATGATGACCAATGTATATTCTGTGAAGGAATAGCTGGAACACTGTAAATCTCCTCCTCAGCATCCACTGTTTTATTATGTGCAATATGATTCCTGCATCTTTAAAATACTTGCAGATTAACTGTGAATTTTCATACACTTTATTTGCCATAACATGAACCCCTTGTTGATGTGACTGGTAATTGATTTGTCAAGGTAGACTTGTGTAAATTTTATATATATATATATATAGATATATATATAACTTATGAAACTGTGATTGCCTTAGTGCTAAAAATCATTAAGTTTATTACACTTGTAATAAAATTTAACTACTCTACAGGACTGCCTTTTTTTTTTTTTTTTTTTTTTTTTCCCTCCAACTTCCTTGATTAAGAAAACGTGTTTTAAGTGTGACTTTGCCTCGAGTTCGGCGAGGTGACTGCGCGCAACTGGGCACCAGCGGCGAGCCGGCCCCCCTGCCCCGCCAGCCGCTGGAGCTGGCCGCCCGGCCCCTCGGGCAGCTGGAAAAAGGCGAGGCGAGCTCCCGGTGCCTCCGGCTAGGAAACCGTGAGAGCGGCACCCACGGCCGCGGGCCGTCCAGGCGCAGGGAGGGGGCGGCGGCCCCACGGGCGGTGCTGCCCCACGGGCGGTGCTTCCCCTCGCCCCGCTCCCGGCCCGCTCCCGCCGCAAGTGGGTCAGGGCGCGGCCCCGCTCGGCTGCTCCCGGCCCGTGACGCCTCTCACGGTTTCGGGTGCCGCCCTGCCCGCCGGGACGCGCCGGGCGGCGACACGGGAAGCCGGAGAGACAGCGTGGGGGCAGGCGGGTGGGCGGCCGCTGCTCCCCCGGGGCGAGGCGAAAGCCCCCTCCCTCACTCCCTCCCTTCTCAGAGCTCTCCGCGGAGGGATCTGCCCCTCACCAAATGGCGGCGCTGAGCAACTGTGCGCGCCTCCGGCCCTCAGTCCTGGCGGTGCGGGGGCGGCAGTTGCGGGCCGGGTTTGCGAGGCTGGGGGCGGGCTCCCTGGCCCTTGGAGCTCACCCCTCAGGGCGGGGGAGTTGCCGTCCGTCCCCCGCGCCTTTTCCCTCCGCTCCCCTCAGGTGTGCTCCGCAGCGGGAGGGCTGGGGCGGCCGCGCCCCACGGCTGTGGGCTTCCTCACAGCAGAGGAGGAGAGGAGAGCAGCTACTGAAGCCTTCAACTCCAGCGCCAGCTCGTCCTGGAAACTTGAGAAGGGTCAGCTTTGCTGCTTTAGTTTTTGCTTTGCTCCCTCGAGAGCTGGCTGCAAGAGGAGGTGCAGAGCCGCATTAAGCGTGGGGGAAAGGAGTTGAGTTAACCGGAGAAGTGATTTTGAAGCTCTTGGTGCGAGGGAGGGGTTGGAGGGACGCTGGGTCTTGGTTCTTTTTGCTTCAGTGTGTAGGGAAGCAGAGTGCGAGTTGTTCGTAGAGCTCTTGTGAAACGGCTTAACCAAGAAAACCGGAATTTGCTGCATGCCTTTAACACCTCATAACTTTACTGTTCAACTTACTTAGGTTGCTCAAAAATGGCTAGCAGCAACGACTGGTTTCAGAGTGCTGAAATACCCCCCTTTGGCCCCATACAAAAGAAGACTTTGCCAGCTCGCGGTCCTTGGCAGCTGCCTTTAAAGTTTTCTCAGTCTGTGTCCGTAAGGCCAAATCTTTTACCTTCTGAAAGATGCAGTGTACCAAAGATGACACCAAATCCAGGTATAGTTTTCCGTTTATACACTGGGATTAGCTATTAAAATAAACGGTTAAAGCTAGGGAAAGTAACTCATTTTCTCTTTTTGAAAGTTTGCAACCCTCTGCTGCTTTTCGTTAGAGCTGTATTTTTCTTAAATGACTTTGTAGCATCTGCTTGAATTTCTTCCTCTTTTTCCTGTGTCCTTTCATACTGGAAGTTTGTTAAGAGATTCGTGGTGTGAGGTATATAGTCTGCAGAGTTTCATAATTATCAATTCCAAGCTCTAACATTAAAAGTGCTGTAGGGGTGGACAAAATAATAGGCCATATACTGCTTCATGAATTTTCATAGAGATCATTGAGAAAAGTTTTAACTGCAGTTCCAGATGTCCCAGAATGTATTTTGAATTCTGTCTCTGAATAGTTGTATTGAGGTAAAGGCATCTATTTATGAAACTTGGAGATAACAGTTTATTTTAGTATTTGGCTGGAAAATACTTGTGCCTTTGCATATGGCAACCCTGAAGGTGATGATTCCATCCATCCTAGAGTTGACACAGGGAAAAAGATTTAATTTTTTCTTTTAAATCTAAAAAACCACACCAATCCATCACAGAGGTAGATACAGCAGGAAGTGTTAATTTCATTATTCTATAGGAGATTTACAGCTCAGAGACAACTGCCCAGATACAGTGTGCTCCTTGGAGGAGTTTGTCTTTCAAATGAAACTCAGAAGTGTGGGTTTGCCTTGGGCCTGCTTCTCAAAATTTACAGAAGTCTCTTACGACTTGACTAACTTGCTTCATATTGCCCTCCGAAGAGCGTAAGGGCTCTGTGCTAGGACAGATGAAATACCTGCCCACCAGCAGTGCTGGTTCGCGGTGTGGTTGGTTGTGGGTGTGGGGGGACCTTGCGGGGTCAGGGAGGGGGTTGCCCTGCGGCTGTCCCGGTGTTATGTCCTGGCCACCGCAGCCAGTGGTGCTGCCTCTGTCTTCAGCAGCTCTTTGTGGGTGAGTTTCTTTTTCTTTGAATTAGTTATCTGCTTTTTGAATAACGTGTGGGGTTGCTAAGACGTTCATAGTGCCTTATGACAGGCAGTTCGTAGTTTTGTGTGAAAAACCACGTTCCACTGTTTTGAATCTGCCATCAGCAACTTTCATTTGATCACTGGTTTGCAGGGGAAGGGAGTAAGAATATATGTTGCATTTACATGTAGTATTTGTCTGTGTTCAGAGGTTAATGGATTTAGTACTCAAAGTATAAACATTGATGCTTTTAAAAGAGGAAGTGCACACCATTTTGGAATTGTTAGCATTGTTAATATAGGATTCAGTAGAAAACAATATTGCTCTAGAGTGAATGTTTTTGTCTTTTTAAAAAGCATATATTGTAAACATATTTAAACTGTCAGAGAGTGTTTTTTTCTGATTTTTGTTTCAGAACCTTTTCTTTTGAAAGCAGCCCATACACCGTCATTATCAGCACTTCCTCCAAAGAAAGACCTAGAGGAGTTCATTGCAAAGTTTGAACAAGGACTAATTAACCCAGTATCTGCCTTGCACCAGTTTGCACAAATGCACCATTTACGACTTGAATTGAAAGAAACTAGTGTACCAGGTAAATGCTGTTTCTTTTCCTAAGTAAAATAATACTTGCTTATCCTTGAGATGATCTGAATTTCTGCAGTTATTATGGATGGCACTAATACAGATGATTTTTTTTTTTTGCTGTTGGTTGCACTATCCTCCACATCTGTTGCTTTTGGTGCTCTGCCCTTTTATTGTCTACACAGCTGCTTCTCATAATTACTACATAATTTGATCAGATGAATTGTATAAAGTTCTGGCTGCTACCAGAACTTTGTAATCACTACATAAAGCGAAAGCCACCAGAATTCTGGTGGAGGTGAAAGGTTTGAGTTGTATTTTGCTAAAATTGTCTTTTTGACTTGTACTCGTCTTTGGAATGAATGTAAGCACATAAAGCAATGGATAAAAGTACCATAAAATAATATCATTAATTGTGTCTGTTTTGTTTTGTTTTTTTCCTTTAAAGGCAATATCATAAGGCCTTATTTTGCATTTTGTGCTGTGGTAGATGATGTTTGCTACAAAACTGGCCTGGGAAAAAACAAGAAGGAATCTAAATTAAATGCAGCTAAACTGGCTCTTAATGAGCTACTTAACTTGGATCATTCAGGGGCAAGGGCTTCTGAAAAGTCAGGTAAATATTCTAGCAGCACCTAATTAGAACTTGAAAAGCTTGGCTTAAAGGTTTCCTATGCAAAATATCTGTGTAGTTTTGTTAAATGCTTCTGTATCGGGGCCTCTGTCAGTTTTCTTGAATACTTTGGGCTAAGCTATTTGTTGTATGGTTCTGAAACTTTTATTCCTTTGTTTTGTGCATTAGGAGTTGCATCAGTTTGTAACAGAGAGTGGAGAATACTGAAGGAATTTATTTATTTGTTGCTATTGCACTTGATTTGCTACTCATAGGTAACATCAATATAAAGTTGATCCTAAGAGGTTTCAAATTTTTATGATTAAACGGCTTCAACACTGAGTTAATACTTTCAAAAGAATTCAGTTACCATAACATTTATTTAAGGGTTGCTACCTAAATAGTTCTATACTTACAAGGACTTCAAAATCAGAAAAGAAAATTCTTAGACAATTACAAACTTTAACTTGCTGGAAATAGCGTGAGATCCATGTTTTGAAATTTGGAATGTCCATCTCAGTTTGAAATGTTAAATTTGTAGATCCACCCTGTACTGCTGGGCCCCAAACTCCAGCAAACTCCGTTCATGTTTCAAGGATCTGTTTCGGTAAGGAATAGTCTTGTTTTTCTCTGTTGATTCAAATTACCTAGCAAATGCTTGCTTATTTTTTTCTTCTTTTCTTTTAAATTATTGTTTCAATACATTTAGCAGTCTCCGTGAAGTTACTGTGATTTTAAACATCTCTGTGAAGAACGCTCTAAGAATCAGTGTCACTAAAGTAGATGTGTCCATTTATAGAACCAATGGTTGAACTTCAGTAAATAGCTTGAATTTTAGGTGGTGAATTGGTGACACAAATAGAAACAGTATTTCTGTCCTTAATTGACATACTGTGTGCAGTAGGTGATCAGACTTGATCCATATCCCTGATTTATTATCATGAATAATAAAAGCATAAAGCAATTAGGTATTCTTGTCCTTTATTTACTTCTTTATATACTTCCATCCTGATAATCGTCAGAATCCCTCAAGTGTGTGTTGATAGTAGTGCTTTCACCATTTGTTTATAGTTTGGCAAGTGGTTGATCATGTTTGTTTCTCCCTTCTTAACACCACACACCCCGCCCCCCACCCAAATTTCTGTCTTGCTGGCCTTCATTGTTTTATTTAGGAGGACACCTTATGTATCAAAAACTTCTGCAAACACTTGAAGAAGTATTTAAGAGCCTGACTACCAAATATCCTGAGTACCAAAGTTGTGGCAGTTCACTGGCTGCCTTCATCGTTGAAAAAGGCAAGTCTATTTTGATTGTGGGTATTGGGGAGTGGAAGACCTAGGCTGTTTATGTTCCCAGAGAGCCTCAATTAATGCATTTCTAATCTGGTAAATAAATGTAAAGGGTGTCTCTCCTTTGATATCTGTTCTAACGGCTCTGTCACGTGCATAACTGTGCTGCAGTCCAGCAAATACTCAAGACCTCCATAAGCATTTCCTGTCCTGTTTCAAAGAGGAGTAAGGCTGTGTAGGCCAGAGTGGGTCCATCTGCCCTGAAGGAAGCTGCAGCCCATGGAGGACTGATAGAGGAGCAGGCTGCTGGCAGGAACTGTGGTCTGTGGAGAGGAGCCCACACTGGAGCAGGTTTTATAGCAGGACCTGTGACCCTGTGGGGGACCCACACTGGAGCAGTCTGCTCCTGGACTGCAGCCTGCGGAAAGGACGCACGCTGGAGCAGTTGGTGAAGAGCTGCAGCTGGTGGGAAGGACCCAGGCTGGAGTATGATTCCTGAAGGAATGTATCCTGTGGGAGGGACCCCATGTTGGAACAGGGAAGGAGCAGCAAAGACAGAGTGTTAGGAACTGATGTTTCCCCGTATCCTTGTGCCACTCCAGCAGGGAGGAGGGGAGGAAGAGGAGTCAGGAGTGAAGTTGAGCCTGGGAGGAGGTGGGGGGGGTGGGGAAGGGGAACATGGTGTTAATTCTGGTTTTGTTTCTCACTATCCTCCTCTAATTGGCAATAAATTAATCTACCCCAAGTCGAGTCTGTTTTGCATGTGATGGTAAAAGGCAGGTCATCTCCCTATCCTTACCTTGACCTATGAGCTTTTTATTTTTTCATGGAATCATTTAGTTTGGAAAAAAACATGAAGACCAAGTCCAACCTGCTGGGGGACAGGGCGTGTGAGAGAGCAGCTTAGTGGGCACGTGGCAGCCAGACAATGTTAACCCATCACAATCACATCAAAATAAATGTTTTCTTTTTAGGTGGACAGCATGAAGTTGTAGCTCTGGGAACAGGAGAATGTAATTACAGTCAGTGCTTTCAACCTTGTGGAAGAGTGTTACATGACAGCCATGCCATTGTTATTGCCAGGCGTTCTCTACTCAGGTGAGAATGGGTGTACAAATAGTTATCAGTTCTCTTGCATCCAGTTCTTCTCAGTTTTACTTTTGCAAGTGTAAATATAAGTGCACTTGCATTTTATAGTTATTACCTTCTGGATTACTTTCAAATTGAATTAAATGTTAATGTCCATGTATTTGTAAACAAAATAGTGTTTTTCATATTTACCATTACTTAACACTTCCTTTTAGATACTTTTATAGACACCTTTTGCTGTTCTATAATGAAAATCCAGCAAGGACAGAGAAGTCCATATTTTGCACAGCACCAGGCTCAAAGTTGCTTACTCTAAAGCAAAATACAACTATCTTTCTCTACATGAATCAGCTTCCCAAAGGAACTGCTCAGTTAAAATCACAGATGTAAGTGCCTTGGTATTTTTAGAGATGTTGTAGTGGAAGAATAATTTGTTTGCAGTGACAAACACATATTGAGTGTGGAAAATATGCATTGTTACATGTTTCTAAGGTGGGGGTGGGCTATTTTTGTGTTTTGGAAGGATTAATGTAGAGGGTGGTAGCGAGAAGTGTATGAGATACAGCTCAACATGACAGTACAAAGAACTTCTACATGGGTTATAGCTTCAGGATGATGCTGTGTTTGCTACAGATAGCTACTTAGCTGTTAACCCGCCATCCAAGATACTGTTAAAATACTAATAAATCATTAATTTAACACTGAGCAAGTGGATGTGGTGACTTAATGTCATCCTTTGCACCACAGGACTAGAGTATAAAAAGCCTTGAATTGCTTGATTGCTCTGCTTTCTAGAAAAAAGGTAATGAGAGGAGCCTGATGGGACAAATATTCTCATGCTTATCTTTACCCTTCTAACTTTTGTTAAATTTCTGAGAGGTTTTTAATAGTTTTGACATTTAACAGCAGCAGTCACTGTTTTACCAAGTTAGTACAAACAGGATTATTTTGTGTCCTTAGAGTGGTGCAGTGGAATAATGTCCCCAAAAGTCGTACAGTCACAGCTTTTTCATAGGCACAAGACAGCTAGCTGCTTTCATACTGTATTTGTATGGGTGTTGGAAAGGCAGACTTCTGAACTAGAAATCACAGCCAGTTTATTGCGAGTTGTGCTGACTGAGGGAGCCCCTCCTGTTAGAATGGCAGAAGGTATTAGATTACTTTGTGTTAGATTACTTTCTGCTCTTACAAGGAAATGGTTGATGAGACTGGATGCAGTTGGCTAGCTGCTCTGTAATAGTTGACACATCACAGATTGAGCACTTGTTCTCCTGCTTTTTGTCCGTTCTGGTGTGTGCTCTCTGGAGGCAAACTCTGTGAAGTACCTTCTTCAAATACAGCAGGTTTGCTAATGCACAGAGTTATTTAAAGATAGTTTTTAGAAGGGAGCTAACTTGCAAGTAATCCACTGAATAGCCAAATGTGTCTGCTTATTAATAGGCAGTAGTATGTTACTTAAGCCATAATTAAATGGTTGCTTTGAAGTAATGTGGTAAAGCAAAAGCACCTTTAATCATAACGTTGTAAATTACAGTGAAACTGGGGAGAGTTAGCTCAAAACTTCAGGCTTTGACTTCTTATCCCCCTTCAGTTAAGGGGGAAAACTGGGGTGCTTCGGAACAATCACTGTTGTGTATCCCTAATGTGTTGCATCTGCTCATTTTAAATATTTCGAAGAATTGGAGTGTAAATTATGTTTTAAAGGAGATTAAGAACCTTACAGCTGCTTTTTCACAAGATGAACAGCCTCCCAGGTAACTTCTGTCATAGTGTAAGTAGACACAAAGTGGTGGCTTGTTTGCAGCATATGCTGATCTTTTTTAATGTTTGCACAATTGATGGCTAAGATTAGCCTGAGTTACTATTTCTTATTTAAATAATGATTTCAGTATTCTAGTCACTTGAGAGCTGAATATGGTGTTTCTAAAATTTACAAATATTGAACATAATGTACAGCCCAGATCTATTGATAACTGCTTTCTGAGAAGCAGTACTAGATACCGCTTTACAGTAATCTGATTAGAGTACTTTCTCACTGAAATTCATTTTCTTGTTTTACTTTAGACATCTCAATCCACAATCTATATCTGCTTATGAAACTAATGAGGAAATGAGTCTTCATGTTGCTGTAGAAGGCAAGATTTACCTGACTCTTTGTTGTCCACCTAAAACTGTTAGAGCAAGCAGTATGTCAGCTAGTGACAAATTAACAAAATGGGAAGTGGTTGGTATTCAGGGAGCATTGCTGAGTCACTTCATTGAACCAGTGTATATCAACAGTATTCTTGTAGGTAAGCTAAGTGCAAATTTCACTGGGTTTTTTGTTATGTTTCCATGTTCGAGTTTGGTTACGTTTTATAAAACATGAACTAAACCAAGATGGTTCTTTAAAGAATTGCAGAATTTTCTTGGAAAGGTACTAAGTATGTATATTTATTTTTTTTCATTCATCTTTAAAATGCTCTAATGTAAAACTCTGGCTCGTTCTTTTGTTAGTGTGGGTTTGTTTTAGCTTCCTGGTACCTGTGAACTAAGGTTATTAGAAAATAGATATTTGAGGAATAGAATTATTAGGATCAATTGAAGCTGGTTTAGCCATTTAACCATTGCGCTGTAGAACAAATACTGATCTTTTGAGGAATAGTTGGATTAACTGTAGGATAAGGAACTTAATCTTATTGGAGACGGTTTGGCCTTGTAGTGGCAGGTGCAAAGAAACATAAAGAAGCTGCAAATTAGCAATAAACCAGGCCAGGCCAGACTTGAAGGACAAGATGTACGTGACTACAGGACTGAGTTTGTGCAGAAGTAAGGGTCAACTGGCGGACACAATGAAGAAGACTGCGAGCCTTCATCTGAAGATCCCTGACGACCGCCCAAAGACTCCAACTGACATGTGCAAGAGACATTAACATATGCTAAATGAGTTCCCGGGAAAGTTATGAATATGATAAAAATGCAATGAATATGTATGAGTAGGGTAGTATAAATACTTGTTGATTTCATTCTCACACACACACATTAGGAGGATCTATCCCCTGCGTGTCCGGCACTGTAATAAAGAATGCCTGCTTTCTAAAACTCCAAAATTGAGTCTTAGAGAGTGAATTAATTACCACTTTCCGGTAACATTCCCATATTGCCATTCCTTGACTATGTATGAGAGTAACAGAAAAAATGCAGCATTGTTTTATAACAAATTAAATTTTGGATATTGAGAAAATAGCAAGCGTGACAAATGCTGCGTAAACTGTTCAGTTAAATACCTTGACTTTAATGTGACAGTATTAGTCACTTAACTGTAGAAATGAACACTGGTGGAAAAACTGCCAGTATTTTAACTGAAAATGCTCAATTTCACCCTGGGGTATCTTGAGAGCTCTATTGGAAAGCCTTTGTTTGGTTTTGTGTTGTGACCATGGTCTGCACACTCCCCTCCTCCCCTGCTTCCCCCCATTTGTATTTGTTAATGTAAATAGGTGTTTTGTTGAGGAATAGGGATTACTGAGGTGATAGTGAATTCTCAGGATTTTGTGGCAGTCAGGAAGACCATACTATTATCAGAACTCATTTCAGTAGCTTTTATTTATGTGGTGGAATTAAATTAACTGGTATTATCCTGAAGGTTTTCAGGTGTTTCTTCCTCTCAGTATTTGTGTTATGAGGTTTAGTACACTGACATCTTGAGTTCCCCAGACATTGAATATGTATCAGCTTTTCCTTTTCCAACACAGAACAAGGTTTTTGAAGTGCTCCAAAAGATCTTGCAAGAGTTGGTAAATGCCTGTCTGTTCCTTCTGAGGAAGTTTGGGAGCTTTTACTTAAAAGTGATAGAAAAAGTTCTAATATGCTCACTTAAGTGGTATTCAAACATAATAATCTGTAATATATTGGTCTTCAATTTAATAGAAATTCTATGCCTGTTCCTTGAGAAGCTGTGGGCCAAAGTATGTTTATTTAGTAGGCAGCCAGAAATACTGTTGGATATGGAGTAATGTGTGCAAACTCCCTCGCATATTTTATAATCTGGAACATCAAAGTTTGTGCTGCAACTTCTATTTTAATGGTGTCTTCTGCAAGCAATGTAAAGAGTTGATGAAGAGTAAGAGTTCCAAAAAGGATGTACCCAATTAAAATAATGATGCCTCTGGAGTAGAAATGTTGAAATCATTTTTTGTTCTGCAAGCTGAATATTGGAACTGAATTTTCCAAACATCAGTTTTCTGTAGAAAAATTAATATAATGTAGACCAACGAAAACTTCTGCATTCTTAGCTTTTTGCATTATTTTTTTTGTTTTGAATTTGATGTACTTGTATGTGACTGATCTTACTTTGTTTAATAGGAAATGGAAATTGCAAGGATACAAGAGGGCTAGAAATAGCTATAAAACAACGTGTTGATGATGCATTTACATCAGAGCTTCCCATGCCTTACCTGGTCAACAGATCTCATACTTACTTAGTGAATGCTGCATACCCAATTCAAACGGACTTCACACAGAGGTCTCTTAGTTTGAATTGGACATTGTCAGATGCATCACTGGAGGTTGTGGATGGGTTAAATGGAAAAACCACTGAAAGGTTAGAATTTTTTTTCATTATGTTGAAAATAATGGTTAACCTTACTGTTTTGTGCTGGTTCATTGACATACTAATTTTTTAAGCTATGCATGGAGGCCGCGGTATTACCCAAATGAGAGTTTCTCTCCTGTGTTACTGGAACACATCATATGATTAGACATAGTTTTAGAGATCTTGGAACTTGACAGTGAGATACCAAAACATGAAATTAAATAGTATTTTGAATTGAGATATCTCTGGTTTCTGTTGTAGGGAATGTTTTAGTTTTCACAATGCATAAAACCAATTGGCATCCTAGCTCAGATGAATTCCAGTTTGAAAACCGGTTTTGGTTGGCTTGTTTAAATTCTCACAGCTGCTTTTTTGCATTAGCTTTGCTCACTGAAAGTGGAAGTAGAATCACATGTTCATGTTCACAAAGCATTAAAGGGAAAAGAAAAAATCCTGTAACGATCAAAGCAATAAACCTGTAATGTATTTGTTCCTGAGTTTTACTGTTCTTTTTTCATTTGGACCGTAGCTCACCATTCAGAAGTGGCGCTTACATGGCAAGTCGCCTTTGCAAGGCAGCCATGTTTAGTCGTTTCAGACTGCTTGCTAAGGAAGCACGACGGAATGATTTGCTTCAAGTTGCAACATACCATGAAGCTAAGGTACGCTGGTACAGGGATGGAGGGGATAGTTTTAGCAAGGAGTCTCTTAATGGCTATTCTCAAAGCTGGTTTGGTAGCCAAGGGTGATATTCTGTTTTGCTGAAGACTTTACCTGACCAGCTGGATCTCCTTTCTTGCCTATAATCTTTGCCTAAGAATGTATGAAATTAATTTTATCTGAAAACAGCAATCTACTGAATTAATTTTGAAACATTCATCCGAGTAAATGCCCAAACATAGAAAAATAGTATGCTTTGAGAGTCTGTAGCACTGCCAGCAACAGACGCAACTGTAAGATTTGTAAGTATTGTTTTCTACAGGTTTGTTCTTGTGTGTATTATATGCTGGTGGTAAAGAACACAGATCTCTGTAACCATCATTACTGAGACCTTTCAGGATCTTTCTTTTTCTCTTTTTAGGTTCAATCTGAATTGTACCAAGAAGCTAAAAACTTGCTACAAAGCTACTTAGAGCAACATAGTTATGGATCCTGGATTGTGAAGTCTCCACATATTGAACAGTTCAGTGACTGATTGTGAGGCACACTGTATGAAATGTAATTTTGATTAGTAAAATGTTTTAACTGTAGGGTTCATATCTGCAGCAAGAAAATAATTCCAGAACTGCTTCTTTTCAATTTAAATGCACTTATTAATTGATCTGTAGCAGCTTAATCTTTTCCAAAAGTTGATGTTTTCTCACAGGTAGGCGTATCTAATGGCTTTGCAAATCGGTGCTGTTTTGCCCCTCAACGCCACCTCATTTCTGCTCCCTCACCCTGACACCCACCCCACGCATACCCCGTGGAGTAATTAACATGGTGTTTTTTTCCTGTTAGTTTCGGGATTGCCGTGTGCTGATTTCTTTTTTCCCACCTTTTTCATAACTGTCTTTAAGAAAGAAAAAAAAACAGTAGAAATTGGATTTCTTTTTTTTTTTTTTTAAAAAAAAAAAGTATACTAATGTGAGAATCACTTTCAGAAACAAAAATTGGCAATATATGTTTTCTCTGTAGGCATCCTTTCCTAGTCATTCTGTTTAGCATGGATTTGCCAAGTGGCTTGTATATTGTTTGTGGTAGAAGAGTTACAAAATAGTCTGTGTACTTCCAAATGTGAAACTTTGAATTACCAAGCTGTTACTCAGCTGTTCAGTGACAATCATGATTTTTGGTAGTGGATTTAAAGTGTAAAGGTGTCAGAGCTGTAGATAACAAAGTAGTGCGATGTCATACAGAACTCACAAGAAACAAGGTTCTTTGAATTTGTGTGGGCTGCCCCCAAAACCATCAGATGTTAGTGCTTGTAGCTTAGTTGAACTCCTCCACCCACAGACTACTTTATCCCTGCAATGAAAAGCCCTCAAAAAATTGTCTGCATGCATAATAATCTGAAAAGTGTTACCTGTCAAGAGGGAGGTGCTTCCTTGCAAGTTATAGTAAGAATATGGTAACATTATGACAGTGTTTAAAAGGATGTTGGTAAGTACCATACTTGAGTTTTGTGTGGTGTTGTGAAATAGCAGTGTGTTTAAACTAGATAGCACACAGTATTATGTTACTTGGTTTTTGTATATCATACAAGTGTGGGAAGCTGTTAAGGGTTTTCATACATCATTAATAGTATAGTGGTATAGTCATGTTTCAGCTTCTTATATTAAGAGGATTCTAAAACAAAAACTTCCTTCCAGTTTTTTTTTTTTTTTTTCCCTTAATCTATTTCTTTTAACTAGTATGTGAAATCTTTACTGGAGACAATTTTATGTTGATTTTCAGTTTGCTGACGCTCACTGACTTGTTACAACTCTGTCTGACCTTTTTTGGCTATTCTGCTATTTTGTTATCGGTTACTGTTTTATCTTAGGGTGGTGGTGTGGTGGTTTTTTGTTGTCTTTTTGTGGCACATGCTGCACATAATATTTGCTCCATGTAATGTTTCCTTTCTAAGAATGCTTGAGAATGCTCTTCTACCCTGGAATATAATGGCCATAGTGTTGCCTTTTTTCACGTGTATTAAAACTTACTTCCTTGACAATGTGTTAGTGTTTTATACACTTCTGGACCATTTGTGTGTATGGACTTAGAGTTTGCTGAGACATCATCACCAAGGTGTTTTCTGTAGTTAAGCCAGATATCTTAATCGTGTAAGGAACTGACCTTTTTTTTGTCTACTTCAGCCATTTTATTAATTGAACAGCAAACCAAAACATCTGTGAAACTTAGGTTCCTTCTTGGGAGGAGAGAGGTTCTGTTGTAAAAACAATGTGTTATGCTGTATCCTTGAGAAATGAGTTAATGACAACAGTATGGATCCAGTTCCTGTGTCCGGACTGTTCTTTGATTAAGTATCAGCAGATGCAGAATGTGCTGAGCTGGTAGATGTAAGCATGTACATGTTCTGTCCAGGTTTTTCCTCAGCTACTTCGGTAATTCCAAAATGTATGGCACTACAAGCTCAAGAGAGGCAAGAGTGCTGCATTTCCAGTAATGAGGCTGAAGATGTGTTACCGACCGGTACGTGCACACAGAGCACATGTACATCATGCATATGTACAGAGATGGGCATGGGAACATGAACAGCCCTGACAGCCTCTGGGTGAGAGTGCTGCCTCTCCCCTCCCTGCTTGAGAAGAACTGAGCTCCCCTGGTGAGAATATATGTACACACAGGCATATATGGGGAGCAGTGCACGTGCGTGTATTCTCTCTCTATGTATGCACACGTGTACAGACACACCCGCTGTACCGGAACACACCTGCATGTCACGAGTGGCATGCATGTCAAATCTGACACACATGGAACATGCCTGCAACATGCCACACATTGACATACGTGTCAAATCTGACCTGTCACATAGGCCATGTGTCACATGTCCCAAATCACATACATGTCATGTCCCACACATGTCTGTGTCCTGTGCATGTTGCATGCCATGTGTTCCATAGATATCACGTGCATGTCACATGTCACAGATGTTATCTGTCACATAATTGTCACATGTAGAGCATGTATATCACATGTCATATATCAGAGGTCAGATGTCATGGATGTCACGTGTCATGTCACAGACATTGAGTACATGTCATGCATGTAATTGCTATTAAAGCTCTGGTATCGAGCAATAGAAGAGAGCTCAGGAAATTGATTTTTATAAGTATTTTAAGGGGTTCTGATGAGGTTTTCTACATCTGACAGGGAAAGGTACATGCACTAAAGTTCACTTTGCTATGCATTTTCAGATGCTTTCAAAATAGTACCATTTTTCTCTAAAGGTTTTTTTTTCAAGTGTGGGCAAATACAGGAGCTGATCCTGCAGCTACTATAATTAGTCACAAAGTTGACAGACAAAAATATATGGGGAGTTTATTTGCTGTATGTAGGAGTTTTACCAATATTTTTTAAAATTCAGCTGTTTTCTCTTGTTTTTTAACAAAAGGTTTAAGGGCTGCCAAATGGACTATAGTGGTAGTATTGCAAGACGGAGGAAAGTACACTTCTAGTTCTGTCAAACTGACTAGAACTTGATAAATGCTACATTCCATGTTAATATTTATCAACCCTGTATTTTGTAAACATACAAATTTTAGTGAGAGGTCTACTGCTTCTTTTTTCTGTAGATTTCATGAGCAAATGTAAATGGATTTTTCTCACTCTCTGGAGCTATGCTGTTTTCTCCATTTTGCCAACAGTATATCTTTATTTAGCCTAAGCTTTTACAGTTCCTGTTAAATGCAACGTCATCTACCCTTATCATCTACTACCTCATGGCAGTCTGCAACCTCTTTGCACACAGAAGTGTAGTGACCACTACTGTATGTCTTGGATCCACAGTAACAGTTTTTTGCAAGATTCTGCTGCGGTATTGTTTGTCATGATTACTTTCTATTGCTGCTTTTTGTCATTCAGTGGCCCTTGAGGAATGCAAAATTGCAGCAACTTGTGGATAGGTCTTCATCTTTTTTGTTGTTTTGATCAGAACTTTTTCTCTGAAACCTAATTTAGTCAAGAAATACGTAATTTAAAAAGAGTACGTATTTGCAGGTATTTCTGACTTCAGTGGAATTAATACATCATTAACCACTCAGTAACATTAAACTAACTCTTTCAAATGTGCTTGGTGATAGTCTGATAGTATTGCTTAGGCCTGTTGATCCTTACATAAAAGAGAGTGTGCATCAGTGATGTGAAACCTGTGTATTGCAAAATAACACTATGTCGAAGTAGCAGTACTTAATTCTAAGGGGTTTTTTACACTACCCTTTGCCTTAGATTTTTCTACAGAATGGCATGAGTGTGTTTACACCTTTTTCCAGTGTGCATTTTGTTAATATGAATGACATAAGTAACTTTCATGAACTGCTGACATGCAGAATGCTTTGCAAACATCTTACATACTTTTTAGGAAACATACAGTTACGTGTGGCTGAAACAAACACCAACGTAAATCATTCATCAGAATCTAAAAGGCCTCATGACCACAAGCCTGTGCAACACAAGCAACCTCCTCCTACCTCAGCTAGCTATGTGTATCTGCAGTCTTTTTAGTCAAACAGGTGCTTCTCTGAAAAGGTGTTTTGAAGTGCTTGTTGGAGGTGCTACACGGGGAGCAAGTCAGCTGGACAATGTTTCCAAAATCCACTGCAGAGCATGGCTACTGTACAAAAGTCATGTGGCAGTCCCCAATACTAGTGCCAGAATAGCCAAAGTCTCTGCTTTCTACAACTGTAGACCTGCAGCTATCTCCGAATGTTGTAGCCCAACTCCAAAGCAGTTTTTGCAGACCAGAAAACAAAAAAAATATATTTTCAAGCTGCATGTATTTCGTTTATGAAATCGTTAGTGAGCTATGGCATCTACTTTTCCTTACGAACGCATGAGTAAGCATCTCATAATTTCTTTATTTCTACAGTACTTGACAGTTCCTACCTGATCTAACGCTTACTGTTTAGGGACTTAGAAAAGATCTTAGTTATTCCATGTGGGATGTTCAACTGCATGGATTGACCCAAGGCAGGTTTTACCAAATCTTAAGAGTTGAAGTTTCTCATGCTTAAGCAAATGATGAAGGAAGCCTCATTCATTAACAGAGCTGTGTTCAATGCAAACCACTCCTGTGCCCTCTTTCTGCTTGCTGAGAGCTGGGGCGGCGATGCAGCTGGGCCGGACATGTGGCCTGATACTGGAATATGTTTGCAAAGCCACATGTTATGTGTGATGCTGTTACTTTGGGGCACAGCTTTTGCTGTAGCTTACTTAGAGTCTTTAGGTGCGACTCAATTCAAAAGGTTATATATAAAGTCACCCACTGAAAAAATGCAATGAAATCATAAATAATCTAAATCCACACCACTATTACTGAGTTACAATTACGTTATGTAGTGAGTTTTTACAGCTGTAAGTCTATTCATTATTAGTCTTAAATCATATAAACTGTGTACTTCTTATCAATTTATTATCAATTTCCACTCCCTCCCTAATACTGAGCCCTAGAGTGCAAGTCAGCCCGCCCTTGGACCAGCTTCCCACACTGAGTCTGTCAGAGACGGACCTGATGGGGAATCCCGCATGTGTTCAAGGGGGTCTCTGGATTGGGCACAGCAGGTTAGTGGCACTGCTAGGTAATCTCAACCCTACTGGGTTTTACTGTTGTGGTCACTTGGGTATGTGTGGTCTTGCAAGATTCCGCACGCTAAAATTCCACTACTGTTGGCAGTACTAGTCAGAAGTCAGTAGTATTTGTATCATTCTTACATTCTTATGGGTGATTTCAAGACTAGTGTCTCTGATTTTATCTCATTAGGCTCAGTGCTTCCTATGTCTTCAAATACTCTCATTTGGTTTAAAGGAGATTTTTCATTTCTTTTTGCATGCTGCTTTTAAGACTTCATCAAGTAAGAAGGAATCTATGTAATGAGAAGCATTATTCAACAAAGATTGACAAAGGTAGAATTTTTACAAATAAATTTCTTGCCTGTTTTCTCATATGTCATATTGTATTTAGGTATTACTGTTATTACACTCTGTCATTGGGAAAGCATCTGATTTGAGAAGGGGGTGGAGCTGATCTTTTTGTGGCTGGGCTGACTGACAGTATTTTGCTTTTCTGAGTCCTTGTGGGTGGGGACAGAGCACTCCTTCACTGTGGGAAGAGAAGTAAAGCACCAGATACCAGCGCTGTAAGTATTTTCCCAGTTTTGGCAGAAAGCTATCATTAACGCCTGTTTTCGCAGCATTCAAGAAATCTGTTTTTTCCATTGTTAGTCTGTTTTTAAGTGCTAGCTGAAATACTCCATACCACACCCACCAGGCAAAACACATCAAAGACTGAACGATAGGCTGATAACTGTTGTAGTAGGCTTTCATCAATTACAGCTTGTTGTTAACACTGAGTGGTAGGGTTTGGATTGTAAAAGATGCTTTTCTTAGTTGTTTCTCTCTGCATAACATTCAGTTTCACATGACTGACTCAGTCTTCATTTAAGAAAGCACATTTCTGAGGTTCCACAAAAAGGTTTTTGTGATTACTTAAGGCAGTATGTGTTCACATGGATTTATACATGAATCATCAATTTTATGTCAGTTGTAGCTGGAAAAAATTGGCGATATAAGTGTTCTGGGACGTCGGTACTTCAGTTACCTGTACAGTTATTATTTCAGGTGTATTAATGTTTTCATAATGTTTCTCTGTCTCTGAAGATTTTTGAGAACATGTTTTGCTTACACCAATGAGAAAAATGTATCCTACAAAAAATACAGCAGAAAGCCTGTGTAGCTAAGTAGGACAGCTCACAAAAAATGTTTGGGGTTTTGGGTTTCTTTTTTGGGGGAAGCAACTTGGTACTGTTACTTCTATATGTTGTACTTCATTCTAGCAAAAAACGGCATTTAATACTGCTTTAAAAAGGTTATCTGCAGGTGTCTTGTTCTGAGTGGTACCTGTAGATTTGTATACTGGTAAATGCTTTTAGGGGTTTTAATTGTGTTTTAAAAAAAAGCAGAGTAGTAAGTCACCAGTGAAAGCTACAGTATCATTGAACAAAGAACACTCTAGACATTTTTATGTGTTACTGAAATTTATTAAATATAATCTACAAGTAACTTTTATTAGTTTCTTCAATAAATAGTTGTCTCTCTAAGTTTATTGCCAAAGTGAGAACCAATTAGTTTTCCAAAGTACATTTTGAGCCCGTAGGGCTTACAGAAAGGATCAAATGTGATCTTGGAACAGCCTGTTTTATCACCCAGACTAAGAATATCCAGTAGTCCCAAAATGGACATCAAGCTAGTAAGCCACAGGGCAAAATATATAAATTAGTCATAATTAAATATTTAAATAAATAATGTAGCCGTAAAAATAAAAATGGTTGTCTGATTATTTTAACATAGATATCAGAAAGTTTCTCAGTTCTTGGTGAAATGCAGGAAAATTCTTCTTGTCATTAGCTTCACAGATCTTGCATCCAGTTCCTAGGGGAGTTAGGTCCTGCAATACAGATATTTTTATTGATTGGTGATAGCTCTCTTGCCAGCTAGTTTTAGCAATAATGCATCAACTTCTGTATGTTAAGCTTTTCTTTTAAGAAAAAAGAACCCTTAATATTTCTGGGGAATGGCTTTTTTCAGTTGGTAGGTGTTAAGGGATGATATGATGAAGCTGTTGCTCCTTATAAAGGATTGTCATGCAAATAGATGTTTTTATACAGTTTAATGTTATGATATTTTTGTATGAAATCCTGTATTATCAAGAGATGGTAACAGACCTTGAGGCATAAAAACGCTGATTCTGGCATTGCTTTTCACTAACACTGAAACACTTTTTTTTTCTTTTTGTTTTTTTAAACCGGGTAAAAAGGTTGCTTACCCTAAGGCTCTGGAGATTCTTTTTGATATTTCGAAGATTATCAAGATCCTTATCTTCAATTTCATTCTCCAAGGTGTCCATTTCTGTCAGGTAACATTGTAGAGTTTGCCAGCTGCACTCCTAAAATGGTCAGCAATATCATTATATATGATGACAGTTGATTCACTTAAAAAAAATCTCAATTACCCATTGTTTTTGTCCTCATATCAAGAATTAAGCTGTTGGTTTTCTACAACATAGAGTTCATTTGTCCCCCTTAAAATCGTATTGTAAAATGTTACATGTGGCCTTAATTCTATGGTTGATTATTGTAGCTTTTGAAAAGTGAATAATCTTTACAGGACACTTGAAGTGGTGGGGTATCTCTTGAGAGCACAAAACTGCAGTATTTGCTCCTAAACTGAGCATTACTCCTGGTTGTCATGTGGAAATCATGTTATAGCAGAAGGATTAGTAGTCAAAGCCTCTGTCAGTTTTACAGTGTCCTTTTCAGAGCCATCTTCAGTTAATGTATTTTGGTTGCTCTAATGTCTGCATCTGATCTGGCTTTTGATTGTGATAAATAACTATGCATTACTCTTAAAAGCTGTCAGACACTCAGTGACAATATGTTATTAATTAGCCTCATACATTTGCATTTAAGCACTGGAGCTCTGAGATACGTCTTGATGTTGCCAGCATATGAGAAAAATGACTCAGATAAGGAAGTGGTTGCAGAATCTGGCTTTAAATCTTTACTGAAACAAAATTACTGTTAAGAGAGAATTCTTCTGGATTAAAGACTTAATTGGAGGCTCAAAGTAGTTAACAGATAACTTGTGAAAAGGTTTTAACGGCTCTTCAGTCCTAAATAACTTGATGCTCTTATTCATACCTCTACTTGCACACTGAATTAAAAAGAAAAGTAGTATAGATCAGCAGCCTGTCAATGATAAATAGTCTGTGGTAAAGCTGTGCTTAGAACACTATCAGCACTCTGATGTGCAGTTTTTTAGAAAGAAGCAGCTACGATGATAGTATTCGTGTGGAAGTAAGTCTTAGGTATTAAGTAAATACTAGAAAACATTAATATATGGCTAATAGATCTAGAATGGCTTGGTAAAGTTTTGTTCCTGAAAAAAATTAGGTAGAGCATAACTAAGTTTCGTCATTGCTAGGATTATGGAAGAATTATAACATCTTAAACAGAACCTGCTTGTGGCTCTGCATCTAGTTGAGCTAAAATATGGCCACTTTGGTATAGATATTGCTTTATTTATTTCTAAGTCTAGTTTTGTTCTCAGAATTGTTATTGTGTTAGTGTTAATATGACAGTATTGCCTCCTGCAAATCTTAGACAATTTTAAAAAATTCATAAAACATTTTTTCCTGTCAGCTGTGTATTCAGTAGGATGAATAGGGAGGAATCATTTTGTGTTACGTATTGTGCAGAACAATAAGCTAATACTGTTCATTAGCCTGTTAATGTTTGGGAATACAAATCAAAAGCAGAAGTGTCTTTAAGAAACTGCACTCCCTACACTGAATTCAAACCGTCTTTTATATCTGCCCTTCTGATGAGCGAATTGATTTGGTATAACTCAGTAATATATCACTGTAAAGTAGCCATATCTTAGATATCCTTCTGAAAACAAAAAATTTAAACTCACCTGTTTCTCATTTGGTGTGTAAAGGTCAAGATGAATCTTCTGTAGAGAATGAGGAGAAAAAGTTATTTTTTCTGAAAAAATACATAGAAGAAAATAAATAGAAGATAATCTTATAATAAAATAAAATCAACCACTTACGTCTTTGCTTTTTTCCAAGGATTTTAAATCTCCTATTAAAGCTTTAAGAAGGCTCACTTTTTCTGTTGGTTGAGGTAGTCTATAAGCTGCAGTCATAAGCATTACTGCTGAAATGCAGCTGAAGATCAGTAGTTTGCACATTATGTCAGTGTCCTGATTATCTGTATGCTAGTATTTGAGTTGTGATAAAAGATGAGAGCTAGTAAGTTGTCCTTAAGATGTTTAGTGTATTTATACTCTTCTTTCTGGGGGGGAAAAAGATGGGGGCGTCATGTTTTATTACACATTTTTTCATATGTTCTACCTGCATGGTAAGAATCATTACTTTTGTTTTTCCTCCCCTGATGACACTTTGGAATTTTTATAAAGCAAGAGGGATTTTACCTACATTCACTGGTGTAAAAGAAGCCCACACTCACTTTTGGCAGTCTCTCTTTGTGCTTTCTGCATGAAACACTTTTTCCCTCATGCGCTGTCCCACTCCCCCATAGAATATGCTGTAGAATATAATCCTGCCACACAAAACGTTGTTCTAAAGATGTTTAATTTAACCATTTTGTTTGTTTATCTGTATATATTTATCATTTCACAAATCCTGTGGCATTATTTAAGTGAAGAAAGAAGTATTCTCATTTTAGTAATTGTTGATTAAACAACAGGAAGAAAGTTGGCTTCCTGTCTGAAGGTGGTTTTACCTGTCATCTTTTGCAAAGACAGTTAGTGTAAGCTTAGGTGCATAAATCAGTCTTTATACGATCAAATTGAAAATGTTTGTGAAAAAAACTGCAGCAGGATTCTTTGTTTTGGGATATTAAATCATTTTTTCTATTACTGTATACCTTAATGCTGTTCTTTTTTAATTTGCATGTGTCTTTCACTTTTCTCCAGCTTACAGTGAAAATGCACTGCTTTTTGAAATATTTACAGATTTTTCTTACTGATACCTAACCCACTGCATTTTGTGGTGTGTATCACAGTACTGAAGTTGAGAGTAAACAGTAATTTGACACTGAACTCTTGCATAATATCGTTGAATTGTTTTTCTTTTCTGATGCAGGGGTCTTTTGGCTGGTATCTTTGGAATGCTATGTGCAGTGTTTAAAATTCATAGTTTTCTTAATTTTGAGTGTAGTTCTGAGCCAGATAACTCCCCCTGCTGCCCAGAAATCTCTAACATTATGTGAAATGTGGTTCTGCTCAGTGAATTTAGTTGCTGAAGCTGTATGGAATGAATTCTGGATTTGCATGCTACTGTGGTTTAAAGTTTTGTAGCATTTGGGATGAGCAAGACTGGGTGCATGGCTACTTCACCTGCCATTGCAAACATGTGGAAACGTATTTTACATGTTCTGATCATGTAATCTGAGGAGGAGTCAATCTGTTCAAAGTTGGTTAGAATATGCTTTTCCTTGGATTAAATACAGTCCATTACTGTAATTCTTTTTGTTAGTGTCTGTTTGTCCACTAGCCATTAAACTGGTGTTAATTAGCAGTGCAATCCCAGCTCCTGGAGAACTTGATCTTCATTTCCTGGTTTTGAAATAAGTACAAACATTTAACGTGTATGGTCATACAGAAGTCCTAGTAGCTATTTTAGCTTGCAGTATGTAGTATTTGTGCAGTTTGAAACCTTTCCTGGCATTTTATCTTTTATCCCTTGCATTCTTGAGAGCAACCAATTTCAACCAGAAGTTATGACTGCAGAGGTGAGCTGCTGAGCACTGGGTTGTCAGGTTTTCTCCAGGGTGCTTATAAAGTTAGGTCATTTTATTCGAGGTTTTCCAAGTTTGGTTTAAGTTAATGTGTTTTCACTGTGTCAAGTATTAAGAAATACCTCAATAGTGAGAACAAGACATGTTTTTGTAATTATTGCTTGATGTTTTCAAAGCTATACAGTCTTTTCTATGTTCTATAAAATTACATAATTTTCTCTTTTCTTTATAGAATATTCCATGGAAGTACATTTGGAAGCACTGGTATTTGAGATGCTGAATCTGATTGATGCCTTCTGGAGTAGTTTTCAGCAGTTTAGATAAGAGGTTGCTCCAAGCACTTGCTTTGTGCTGGAGTGTTGGGTTTTTTTTGAATCCGTGCTTAAAATACAACACAGCCAGCACTGGATTAGTACTTTTGTTTTCCAAGTATTCTGCTGTTTCCTTTTGCAAGTCTTCAAGAACTTAAAAAAAAGAAAGTCTGAGCATTCTGTGATATTTTTCATCAAGTTTACAGATAGGTCTGCTAAAGAACAAACACTGCTCAGGTAACTACCTCCCATGCATCTTTGACCACAGGGCTTTTAAGAACATTTTCCTTTTAAGTCCTTTATAGTGTATAAAACTATGATTTTAGTTCTAGTCTATGTATAATTAGAATTGGATCTTTATATTTTAATTGAAGTAACATCTCTTTATCTGTTGTTTTCAAAGACTAAGAGGGGCTTGCATTTCAAGGGGGGGTGTGTGTGGAACCTGAATATGCAGTATTTAATTAAGCGTGCCCAGGCATTCGAGTGATTAATTTTCCCATGTTTTGCTGCAGGCTTTGTGGTCCAACGGAAGAAAGCAACAGATCTAGTTTTGGCCATCTTTATTGGATGTGCCAGGAATGGGGAGGGGGATGGCTTGGAGTGTTTTGATAAACCCAGAAACAACACAAACACAGTTAATGTTAACGCACAAATTCATGTTTGAATTATACCTTCAGTTCTGGGAGTCTGTCCTGCTTAAAAGTTTTAATATTCACTATGCTAGCTAAGCAGTTTCCAAGGTCATTAGATTGCTCTTGCAGTCTTTTGTGTCTTCACTGTGTACATGCAAGACAAACCAAATCTGACCACAAGTAGTAGAAAGAAGTTGAATCTACAGGGACAAACGCAGAATGTTCACAGTCATGGTACTAGTAAGACCACAGGCTGGCTGTGTAGCGGCCTTTGCGTCATTGGTATGCTGACATGATGGTATAAGTCTCCCAACAGTTCCCAGCAGTACTATTGCATTTGAATAGGTTTGTGTCTAAAACGTCTTAATCTTTTTTCTAAATTAGATTTTCCTTACTTGCATGTCTTTCACTTAAGTGCTATCTGTCAGATTATAACAAACCAGTAGTTCAGTGTATGCTACGGGGCTCATATACTGTTGGAGATGGATAGCTTTTTCAGATGAGAATATGCTGATATGCTGTAACTTTTAAATAAAGTAATATTTCTGTATGGTGTTGGACTTCTGCGCTGGTCAGGTTTCAGTAATGACGCTTAATCTGAGCTCATATTTTTTTATTGGAAAAGGATTTACTTAGGGTTTTATTCAGAAGTAAAGTGGTTTAGATAGCCCTCCCAGATTTGTGTTGATTACATTTTAACAGGAAATTAAATTACTCCTTTAAGTTGACTTGGAATTATACAGGATAAAGTAGTGCTGCCAATGCTGAACCCCCAAAGTCCTGCCTTCAAAAAGTATTGGGGCAGGTACTGGTCACCATGTCATACCGTGGGTTTTTCGTTTGGTTTTGTTTTTAATGCACAATTATGAAAGTTTAATTGATTTCTATCTCATTTTTTTTTTTTCTAAATCAAATAGCGTTACGCTATGGGAAAACCACTGTAAAATTCACCATACCTGAAAAGATACAAGGAACACTTTAAAAGCCTCACCTAAAATTTAAAGGAAGATAGCAGTAAAGCAAATATATTGGAGGGAGACAATATTTGTGAATCAAGGGGCTGGGAAGGGAGAAGAATATGAAGAACAAGGGTTCATTTTCTCTTAGAAAATGAGTAGAAGTAAATGACCCATGCTGACTAAACCCCTGATCTGTACAACTTCAAAGTCTGGAAAAGTTTTTACATAGGATCTGACTCCTCTCAGATTAGGCTCTTATTTTTTGTGTCTTTCTAAACTGAAAGCTTGCATTTTTTTTAATGTTATTTTTCCTTGCAAACCTGATGACTGGTGAATTTTGGAGGGAAGTTTTGGTTTCAGTGAGGTATTAGGCATCTTGATGAAGGTGCTTGCTTTCTTTCTCCATCACCAGAACAAAGTTATATTCATCAGGAGTCACTGTGAATGTCTTGTTTGGTACGGTTTAGTACATGTGCAGGTGTTTTTCAGACTCCTACTACAGTAGCACGCTTTTACAAGATTACTGTTAGTAGAGTCATAGGAACCACAGCAGAGTTCATATGGCTGATGAAGGTGATAACCTTCGATTTGTGATCATGATCTGTTGGTTTAACTCTTTCTAACTGTGTTCTAGGCCTGTTTTAAAGAATTTTGAATAGTGGAAGTTGTCTTCCATTTGCAGATCTCCTTACCTGTGGAAAGTAAGCCTTTAGTATTCTTACTCCACTCCGTAAGGAAACTCACATAAACATGTTGAAGATTTTAATAAAGGGTTTAATTATAGCTGGTTTTAATTTGTTTGTAAGCCATCAAAAGGAGATAGCCACCTCTTTCCTTCTTCAGCTTTTTCTTGGTCTTTCTCTTCAGTCAAGCAGTAGCAGAGTTTCATGATCCTGCTTGCATTTAAGAAATGGAAAATTAGTTTTATTGAAGGTATTAGGTTAATAACAAAAGAATAAAGTTTTTTTTTTTTTTTAAATTATCACTAAACGGTGTGAGTTCAATACACCCTGTAAAATGGAGCACTTTCTTCCCAAGTACCTGTGATCCTAAAACTGAAAATCTCTAACCTGTTGAGTAGGTAACTGCTGTATTTTCTGTTGAGCAAGAGGAACCATGGCAGTATCCCAGTTACAGCCAGTAATCTGTGTCTCCATGTTGCAGTACATTTTTAATAGATATTACAAGTAGAACAGTTTTCAGATAAATGTAATGGATTCTGCAATGTATTAGTATTTAAATATAGGAGTGAACTAATGACTGTTTATAAGGAAAGATAAGAAAAAGGAGAAAGCATTAAACACTTTTTCTTTATTGCTTGCTTGTGATGGGATTAGAGCATGAATTGTGCTGATTCACCAGTGCATGTGGTATCATCACTGCGATGATAAAGATTGATGTGGGAAAATGTCCTGTGGATGGCTTGTGTGACAAGGACAAATGAAAGGATAAAAGAGGATGCAAGGAGTTGCCATATTGGGTTAGAACAGTGGTTTTAACTAGTTGAATTGTCTCTGATTAGGG